CATGTGTGTGTGTGTGTGTGTGTGTGTGTGTGTGTATACAACTTTTGTAATATAAAAAAAAAATACTAATAATAATTTTAATCAATTTTTGGCCCTTCGTAGAAAAAAGTTTGGGCACTTTTGGTCAAGATGATTGGACCTGAAACAAGCAGTTTGATCATTATTGAAGTATAATCATACCTAGATCACTAACTGAACTGTTTCCTCTCTCTCATCCAGTGATGGCAGTTTGGCCGCCAAGCAGATCGTTTTCCTCCAGAGACCAGTGCTGCCTCGCAAGAAGAAGGAATCCAAGGTGTGTAACCTCTTATTCCAGCCGCATTACTGACATACTGCTGTCAAACACACACACACACAGTTAATATCATATTCCTCTCATTCTCTCTGCTTCTTGGCTAAAAACATCTACGTAGTTTGTGTTAGCAGCCAAAGTCACACACCAAGTGTTTTTACAGGGTTCAGTGCAGGCGTCAGGCATTTCTTTAAAGCTCCACATAAAATGGAGCAGAAAGCACAAGACGCTTGAACAGAACAATGCATAATTTAAACAAAGATTTAGCTCCATGTCACTTCAAAGAAAACCAGAGCGAGTGTGTGTATAGCGGGTGTTACTGCGTGTTTGGCTTTCCTGATGATATTTACTTGCACGCCAGTGTTGTCTTTTAACATTTTTTGGGAAGAAAGGGCCAATGCAAATGAACTGTGCTAAGCTTTAATCAACCCGCCACACTTGTCATCATCAGTTGTATATGTAATTCAGTATGTGAATTTGTATTCGCAACCATAACAAACTGATGTGAGAATCTAAATGCACTTTTTCCGAAAATAAAAAATTTCACATGGCATACATCTCACGCATCTTGTGGTTGCACGAGGACACCACAGCTTTGTGTGTACTGCTTTTATATAAGCATTATCTCATCTCACATATTCATAAGTGCAATACAGCAACAATCAGGTTTTGAGCATTTACAAATCACAATGATCTGTACTCTACTTGAAGGAAACAGGGTTAGAAACTAAAGTTAAGAAATAGTTTATGCAAATGAAAGCCAGAAAAGTGGCAGGGGGCAGCCAATCACTGTGAGAAGAGCCAGTGGCGTCTGTCATTAACGTTTCTACTGCTGGACTTTCAGTGCTTAAATGGATAAACATGGATTTATTGTGGGTTTGTTTAACATTGATGATGCCTGTTTGTTATTTGAAGAGGTTTACTAAGGGTTAAAAAAAGATTAAATCATGTGATTATATTTAATTCAGATTTAGAACAAGACAGCAGGTAAACAGAATTTTGCTCAAAAGTAAATTTTGTATTTATCATGGAAGCAGTGATTCATTAAATGATGATCAAATGATGAAACAGCATTACAACCAAGTATACTTTTGCTATTTTAAAGAGGCAATTCATTAAATATTTACCCGCATCTCATTATCTTTCCATAAAAAAAAGTATTAAAACTCTCTGTCAACGTTTTCGGTTTCAGAAAGTCATCTTTAAAGCACGGAACAAGTCCAACAAGAACTCGGTCAAAGACGCACCAAAGAACAAGAAGAAGAAAGACTCCACGTCCACCGTAGAGAAAGAGATAAGTGATCAAAAGCAATGTGATGGAGCCGAGAAGAGCGCTGAAGAGACAAATACAAGTGTGAATGAACGACGGGAGGAAAACCAGAATAATGAGGCTGATGCTGAAGTGCAGAGTGAACAGAAAGAGGACAGAGAGGAAGGGAACGAGACACAGGAAGGGACAGTCGGAGCAGGCAGGGAAAAACAAGAAGCGGTGGGCAGAAATAGCGAGAGAGACGGAAATGCTAAGGATGAGGTAGATGTTAAAGAGGAAGAGCGTAGTGTGAAAGCAGAAGCTGAAATGGGGTCGTGTCAAGACAAGGCCTCACCTACAGCACAAGAAACAGGACGACAGGACGATGAGGTGGACAAACAGGAAGACAGCTCAGCCAATCAGGATTGAGGACGCACTCACACCCACCAGGCCAATGGAAGTGGACCTTTATGAATGTTCTAATTGCTACGCTGCAAAAAATCACTTTGCTGATCGATATTTTATCTTGTTTTCCAGTATCGAAACTAAAGGCTAAACATGTCTTGTTTTATTGATCTTTAGATACTCAAGACGAAAGTGTAGCTTACGGTTTCAGACAGGTAAACTGTCATGCAAACACCTCACCTGACATTTCCACCTCTTGTAACCAATGCTGAACATTTAACTCACCGCTGGTGAGCGGGCGATAACATCCCTTCCCCATCAATGAGCCGAAAGGACTCCGGTATCCAGGAAGAGGGAGGAGAGATGGGAAGAGATTGTTATCGGTAAATGCACTGGATGGGAAAACCACATTAATATTTACTCAATGAGCCCAGAGGGCCGAGACAGACTCGAAGACAGCATCTCAGACGCGCTCCGAGGAGAAGGTTACTGTTGCGAGAAGCAATCTATTGTAATGTAAGGTGCATTTGTTTGTGTATGTTTTTGTTTACGTTTATATGAATATTTCATATCACCGTCCAAACGAAAGGGTCAGCTTCTCGAAATTTAAGAGGAGATTCACAACCTGGTAGAGAATCATACTGGGAATATTTCTATTAAGTTCGTTGTGCAATAGGGGCAACTTTTTATTGGTTTGGTTGTTGGCATTCAGAGCGTATCCACCGCTGGTTTAAAGGAATAACTCGCACAGAAATAAAAATTCTGTCATTATTTACTCACCCTCATGTTGTTTCAAATATGTATGACTTCATTCCATGGGAAAAGTGAATGAAGACTGGGGCTGTTGTATGGAAACCCATTTCTGCCACGTGAGAAAAAAAAAGAATGCATTAGTAAATCAAAATTCATGATTATGAGACAAAAATTCAAAATCATAACACACTAAATCATAATTATGAGATAAAGAGTAGAAATTGACATAAAATGTCGACACTGAAAAGATAAAAAGTCATAATTATGACATAAAAAGTCATCATAAGTCATTATTTAACTTTTTATCCCATAATTTTGACTTATGTCACAATTTCAGCTTATCTCATTATTATTTAGTATGTCATATGTTTGACTTTTTATCTCGTAATTATGTCTTATATCAATTTTAACCTTTTATCTCACAATTTTTATTTTATTTTATTTTATTATTTTTTTAAATTATGATTTACCTGCAGAAATGGGCTTCTATAATTTTGAGCGCCATAGAAGCATCAGAAAAGTAGTCCATCTAATTAAAAATATATTATTTTACGCTTATTAGAATATTGTATTGTTAGCCACAAGCTTAATTTAATTATCCACTGAATGCTTTGTGCAAAAAAATAAAAGGAGATTAAATGATGACAGAATTATCATTTATAGGGTGTATTATTGCTTTTAAAAGAGGCAGATGGCATAATAAGTGTCTGTTTGGGCTTCAGTTTACTTTTACATGGAGACAATCTGCTCTAGCTCTAATAGAAACATTTTCAACTTTGCTCTCAGAGGCAATAAAGCATCATAAGTGATTTTGTTTGAGAAAGTCAACACCAGAAAGATGATATACGCTCATGAATAGATCATTTCCCTGTTTTAATTAGCAGATGACTAAGGGGCCGTTCACACAGGACAACAGAGCGCCACAGAAGGTGCGTTTAAATGCACATTAACTCCCAGACACTTGCTAATGTTCACCTCAAGATGCTCATTCTGCCCCCTGATTCATCTGATGGCCATGCTTTAAAACAGACAGCGGTTTGATTTGTAACTAATGAGTCAACGTGAAATCAAAATCAACTCTGTTTTGCTAAAAATACATCAAATTACAGAAATAAACTTGTAAAAATCATGGCACGGATGCGCACATATGTGCATACTGCATACACTCTAAAAAATGCTGGGTTAAATATAACCCAGCGCTGGGTTAAAAAGGGACAAACCCAGCTATTGGGTTGTTTTGACCCAGCGGTTGGGTTCAAAACAACCCAACCGCTGAGTCAAAACAACCCAATAGCTGGGTTTGTCCCTTTTTAACCCAGCATTTTTTAGTGTAGGCCGAAATGAAAAAAAGACAGAAATGGTAGAAACATTTTTTTTTTAGAATATTTCACTGCACAGAATTCATAAAGATACTGACAGTTTTTATTATGAAAATCACATTTTCTGAGGAGGATATAATATGAGTGAAACTTCACGGTGTTATTATACAGAATGCCGTCGATTTTCAATTTGCATAAGAAAATAAATGGATACGTGGATAATCCGTAACAGAATGTTGTGCTGGGATAGAGGGGTTATTTCATGACAATGATTTTATTACCCTGATCTTCTGGGATGATTCAGATTTAAAGTGAACAACAGAAAATGAGGACGGTCGACGGGATAATGCGGTTACAGGTTCACGCGGTTCTTCGGTTTTTATTAATGAAGCGAATGTCTTGTATTTTAGAAATCAGATCCCTTAATCCAGCAGAATCACAAGACTATGATTTCAGATAGAAAATATTATCCTGTCTGACTCGTGGTTTAGGCTTTTCATAGAAATGAATATTAAAGTATTATTTGACGTATTACTTTTCCGATAAACAACAACTGGGTAACACGTCGTGTTTTTATATCAGAATAGGCCAAAAAGCATTTAGACACTTAAAGGTG